CTCTCGAAAAATCCACGACGTTAAACGATCTCTTTAGATGTAGCATAGGGATTAGAAGACATACGAAACTCATTGTTCCAGTAAAATATCAATTCATTATAACATTACATAGTTATATAGCCAAGTGACACAATACTTTTTATAATGAGATACAAATTCTCCAAGTTCTGCTATTTCAATTAACAATCTCGACACTTTGACCGACTTTTTCAACGCTTGTCATAGTTCCAGAGAGTTCAAACACCTAATACTATTATGTTAGAATAACCACATCATCCGAACTTATCACCTCCCACGATACTTTTCCAACAATAACTTTTGAAACTCTCCAATAATTTCGCAAATATTCATAGCTCTTTCCCTCTTTATCTTTTGTTTGGCGATCCCTTCTAACATGCATCCATCACGTCCATAATTCTGATCTGCTCTAGCTCTTAATTTCAACCTGTATGCTACGATCATGTGATGCAAATGTTACATTCGGAAACATCCGGTAATTCCATGTCACATGGTGGAAATAGCAAATTACGATGGTGGAAATAGGGGTACCCTATTTTTATTATTATTTTATATTATTAATTGAATATAATCAAATACTATGTTACTAAATTACTGAACTTAATAATTTTATAAGTTCAATATGATCCAGTTCAATATGATGTATGAATATGATAGAATAAATCCTTTCTGAACATATTTACAGATTAAATTTTGTATTTACTTCTTAGTAAAGATGTTTATATATTTATAAAACATAAACGTTTGATGATTTTAGATGTTATACACCATAAACATAATAAAAGAACTGAGCTTAATAAGTCAATTAAATATAAATCCATGTAATATTTTATGCTATAAATGTAATATGTAAAATATAATCACACTGTTGGATCCAATAGTAAATTTTTATGAAAATAATATAAAAAGATGATTTTATTATAGTAAATCTAAGCAATATTCAAATAAATAACTTGACACAAGTAAAATCATCTCTGTTTTAACAAGAAATTACATTATTACTTTTATAGCTAAAACAGTTAACTTACAGATTATCAACTTATATGAACTCTGCCTTTCCGGATCCATTACTCTTCTTGATTATTCAATTAATAAGTCGGAAATATAGAGGGAATTGTGTTGGTTGGTAGCCAAATTAATTGGTCTTGTTTATTTGACTTTTCGATTTGTATTCTTTGGTTATTTGCCAGTCAAAAAATAACCATCATGACATCATATTCTCGTTTTCTTCCTCTTCCTTCTAGTAAAAAATAATCTAATAGATCCAATAAATATCCAAACCGAATAAATAATAACATTATAAATCACTACCACTATTTCTCTCTCTTTCTGACTATCAGTCAAGATTAACATTGTAAACATCATCATCGATACAATTCACTCCTCTCCTCGAGGAACTTCTCTGCGCGCACAACATCAAATGGTGTGCTTTTTCGTTTCCAAATCAACATCAGCCCATCAAAAATCGGCAGCAGCACGTTATCAGTCCGCGTATCTTTTTGCACGGCTTCGTTAAATCGATGCATATACCGTGCAATGTTTTTGTGTTGTGGTGGAACGGGGCCATCTTTTGTATATAGATCGGAGAATCGTACATATGGATCGGAGAATGCGCGAACATATCCTCGGAATAAAACTGATTGTTATATTTTTATTGATTATTGATATTTACTGATAGTTAATATTGATTACAGAGAACTCTCCCTAAGTGCACCCCCTGGGACCATATGAAAAAAAGACAAAACGTGCATTTAGGGAAGGTGTGCATTTATGGAGAATAAATAATTAAACATATATACTCGGGACTGAGCCAGAGCATAGGATATATTTAGTGTGTGCATTTATAGGGGGTGCATTTAGGGAGAGTTCTCTGTAATCACTAATTAATTAATTTGCTATTTGCTAATTATTCTTAAACATACCATTATCTGCTACAATAAATCCGTTCTTTGACAAGAGATCTTGATCCATTATTGCATTGTAATAGTCAAGATAACCAGATTTATTTGCATCTAAATTCGAATAGGACTCAATTAATTTAAATCAAAAAGAAAAACTATTATTAAAACAATTATGTATTTTCAACGTACTGTTATTTTACCTAAAAAGATCATATCAAACTGTAAATCACTTCCATAATTTTCAATTCTAAAAAATATTTAATTCATAAAGAATCTCAATTACAAACTTTTATATTAATTATATTACATATACTCACATATCGAACGCATCCCCGACTTTAAACTCGACAATACCCGAAAGCCCCGCCAATTCAACATGTTTCTTCGCCAACGAAACTGCCACTGGATCATTATCCAAAGCGGTCAACTTTGCGCCCTTATGTTTTCGATGACGTATTCCATTGGCAAGTGCCACTGTCGAATACCCAGTATAACACCCAATCTCGAGAATACTTTTGGCACGAGTAGCACGTGCAAGAAACGTCAGAAATGTCGCTTCGAGATGTGGTACCATTTTATGCGCTTCTTTGGGAAACGCAAGTTTTGTTTTTTTCGATAGAGATTCCTGATATGGATTTGGTGGTGTGGTATATGACTCAGAGTAAGATTCTACATCTTTGGGAAGGAGAAAGGGTCTTTCGGTGTCGTTTTTTGCAGTTGTGCTGAGAAAAGAAACGAATATATTATTATTAGTTTTTAAGACTCGTGGAGTGGTTGGCTTTCGCAATATTATTTTTGTGTTTGAGATTATTGAGGATGAAGTTGTGTATATTGGTAATAGATGCGAGGTGGAATTCCGTAACGTTGAAAGCTTGCTACGAAAATAATGTAGAATAGACATTTTAGATAAATTTATTAGTCATTGCATTTGATAATTTTTATTTTTGTTCTAGTTCACGTGTATCCAGTGTTGTCACTTGGACGTAAATCCAGCAATTTGATTGGTTGGGACAAGTGTCCTGACCAATCAAATTGCTGTATTTACGTCCAAGCGACAACGCTGCGTGTATCCATATATATAACACTTATTGTCACTAAAGCAAGATAGTGAATTAAGGATTAAGTCAACTTGGATAACTATTCGGATTGACTTAATACACATGACCTTTAGCTGGATTCTGTATAACATCATCGCTATCAAAACAAAAACAAATATCTTTGTTTTGTGATTTGGTCCAGAAATCTACAGAGTGCATCTATGTGCTCCCCAATCCATTTTGGTTAAATTTATTTTTATGATCTGCATTATCTTATTTAGCATGTTTAGCATGTATTTACTATATTATTTAATATGCATATGTATATAGTTTTTGTCACAACTAATATATTACTTTGTGTGCTATTGCTATAGTGCATAATGATTTTGGACTTCATTTGTTATTATCTTGGATGATGATTTCCTTCTTGTGAGTTTTATAGTTTTGTTTCATTATCATTATTATTTTATTATTGCAATTTCTCTTTTTAAAATTGAACTTTAAGTTTTCTAGATCATCTGTTATGTGTTAGATCTTGTTGGTGAATTTTTGGCAATTATTCTTGTACCTAAACTCACTCTGTTAATATTTTTATCAGCATTTTGTATTTCAATTTCTTGTGATTTCTTCTAGTTCAATCTTTGATCAAATAAGTAATTTATTTCTTTTTGTAGGTGAGAAATTTATTGCATTTGGCTATTATCAGTTATTACTTTCAGTTTCTAATATTGTTACCATTTTAATATGACTTTAGGATATTTTTGATTTTGTCTGCAATTTCCTCTTCAGGCAGATCACTTTCTTTGATCCATTGCTACAGTTACTTTAAATGAAGGGTTTCTTCACTATTAGTAAAAGAGTCATATGAATTGGAAGAGAGGAATAGACTAATAAAATTGGTCAGTGCAAAAAT